TAGTTATGTACTGTACTGATGTTTTATTAGTGTACAGTATATTCGGGTATGGTGTTCAGGGTTAATGGTAAAGAGACCTTAACGGCACTGACCTGAGCATAAAGGCTTCATGAACGTCTCTACTCGTTTTTGTCAATTTGTGTTGCTTATTATTTGTGCGCATTTGTTTATCTAGATGAAGTGGAAGTAAAGAAAACTTAATTATTATTTTTTTATTAATATTATCATTATTGGCATTGTTATTATTACGTCTTTGGTTACTTGTGGGAGGAAAGGTGGCACATTGTTATTGCTTCACCATAACTGAGTGATTGTTATTATTACGTCTTTGGTTACTTGTGGGAGGAAAGGTGGTACATTGTTATTGCTTCACCATAACTGAGTGAGTGTGGAGGCGACGTTGGTAAAATGAGTCGTAAAGGGCATCATCTCGGCGAAGTCCTGCTGAGCTGCCATATTCAGGTAGGTGAAGGTTTACGTCACGTTGACGTCATTCAACACTCTGCCTCTCATTGGTCTAGACTTACTCTGTATCCCGTTGTTGTCATTAATGGAGTTTAGCTTCTTTACATAATATATATAATTTGACTGCACAAAGCCTGGTGTAGTCTTCAGTAGAAGCTACCACTCGTCTCCAGCTTTAAATATATATATTGAACCGTTTCACACACCCGCTGCTTGTGTGTGTACAGTTGTTAAAGTCGTAATTCTGGCTACACGAGTCAGTATTTGTGGGATATGCTCTTGGTGGGTAGTGTAGGTGTGGTGATAATTGATAAACCGAGATAGGTCGAGGTGAAGTCGGGCAATACCTTCCAATTTAAAACTAAAAATTTATACGATACACCAGAAAGTATACAAATCCAAGATATTTTTTTATTACACTTCCTTTCACTAAGTCAATCGCTTCATAACAGTTGATGATAATGAAGGTCAACTCACTGCAGCCTGATCATCATCCCAGTCCTCACAGACACAAGTTTCTCGAGAGATCGACCCTAATCTAACCCCTACTTAATTCTCAACAATATATTCGTCCCAGTCTCCATCCATCAAAGAGCAACGCCGTTTTTGTCCTCCCTGGTACTGTCGCTCCCCTAACTTTGGTAATCCAGCTCTCCCTGACGCCTTAACTTTTATCACAAGATATAATATCCTTCAGTATGCCTTAAATTGTCACCCTTTGTAATCCCAATACTGTACCCTTACTAAATCTCAGACACAAACACAGGTGGACATATTCTTAGTGACTTCACCCAATTTATCCTAAACGTGTTCTTGTCATCTTGATTTATTTACACCTTCTTGGAAATTGGAAATTACAGTAGTTAATATCAAGCTTCGGTCCAAGAAAAGTGTAATCCATTCTATTCTTCTGGCTGTGAACCCATAGTCGGGACCAGATCCATCTCAAGTCCTGGATGCTTTCACAAACAAATTCTCTCTGATGTCCAATGTAGTTTCTCGAATGGGTTACTTATTTATCTTTTTTTTATTAATGGGACAACACCTACTTGTACCTCACCTGGTCCATTTTAGTAAAAAAAAATGATGTAAGAAATACACCTGGCTGAAACTGTTGTAATTTACAGCTTTCCTAAAAGGGTATATTGACAATGGTTCTATTGGTAACAAGTTCCCTTTACAAACATCCCACAATAGTACATATGGAGTACTGTTGCTGCCCAAATTCTTTCAACACTTGACAATATCTGCTATCAACTGTTTATGCAATTCTGATCATTCTGTTGCGAGCCACTAAATAAACTGCTTCAGCACGGTCAGGATGGGGGAGTGCAGCAGTAGTAGTGCGGTTAAACACTAGCTCTGTAATTTTTTTTACATCTTTAGTCAGCTCTTTGTTTTTTTTCGTGAAGTAACTACAATAGAAATAATTCTTTGAACTACTGGCCCTGCCCGCTCTCACCACTTCTAACTGCACCCCAAGATGACACATTCCAAGTGGATCACTGAACATTATTGTGTTACCTGCGACCTTAACTTAGATAAACCTGTTTGTGAGGAACGCCTCATTACGCTTGTACTGTTGTAGCACGTAACCTTGCTGTGTAGGCTCTAAATAGATACCGGAAACTTTTTTTTTGTGGAAACTTGTCTCATTGGTTCGCAAATCTGCTAATCGGACCCCGTCGTTCACTTCTACCTTTAGATATCCGTTGAGTATAATTTTATGACGTGTGGCCAGTTAAATTCAGTAACCTTGGGACGCTCGCTTCGCAACTCAGCGATGGACCAGTTATATCCCTCGACACTAAAGCATAATGTTGTGTGTCAGTACAGCGATGTTGACCTCTGGTATACTGTGCATTACAACAGTCGACTAGTGTCTCTCAAGCACCCAACATTTTACAGGAAATTTACAGTGAGTGGGGGTAGATGGGAGCAAACCCAACCCAAGCTATTGGAAAATAACAATAATATATTAAAAGTTACGGTAATAAATTAATAGCAGTAATAAAGATAATAATAATTTTTCACTCGAGTTTTTTCCACTGTAATGCTGTCAGCCATTATTCATTCTTTTTGCTGGAACAGATGTGTTCCTCTCGTGTTATGTGCTGCATTCTGTTACTATTATTATTATTATTATTATTATTATTATTATTATTATTATTATGCAAATATTAAACATCAGTGGGAGGTTTATGATATATGTTGTGTGTGTGAGTTGTGGAGGTTGAGGGTGGGGGGTCGGTGTTAGGGAAAGTTGAGATAACGTGAGGGAAGGGGTGGGGTGTGATGGGTAGGGGTGAGGGTGTGATGGGAAGGATGGGGTGTGATGGGAAGGGGTGAGGTGTGACGGAAGGGGTTAGGGTGTGATGGGAAGGGGTGAGGGTGTGATGGAAGAATGAGGGTGTGAAGGGGTGGGGTGTGATGGGAAGAGGTGAGGTGTGATGGAAGAGGTGAGGGTGTGATGGGAAGAGGAGGGTGTGATGGGAAGGGGTGGGGGTGTGATGGGAAGGGTGGGGTGTGATGGGAAGAGGTGAGGGTGTGATGGGAAGGGGTGGGGGTGTTAAAGGTGAGGGGGTGTCCAGCCTGCGGACATCTCGTGCTGTGGTATTTATAGGGCGTGAGTTGGTTGGCTCACCCACCAGACACTGCTCACCACCACCACACCCACCCACCCACCATCACCCACCATCACCCACCCACCATCACCCACCCACCACTACTCACCACCGCCCACGCACTGCTCACCACCACCACCCACCTGCACCACCACCGCCCACCACCACCGCCCACCACCACCGCCCACCACCACCACCCACCGCCCACCCGCACCGCCCACCACCCACCACCACACCGCCCACCACCCACCCCCACCACCCCACACCACCCACCACCCACCCACCCACCCACCCACCCATACTGCTCACCACTATCACCCACCCTCTACCCACTCACTGCCCACCACCATCACCCACCACCTCACCATTATAATCCCTGTTCCCACCACCCCCCCACCCCTCACCGCCCACCACCTTTCACCCTCACCGCCCACCACCTTTCCTCTCACCGCCCACCATCACTCACCCTCACCGCCCACCTCACCGCCCCACCATCACCACCCTCACCGCCCACCACCACCGTCACCGCCCACCATCACCGCCCACCACCACCCTCAACCGCCCACCACCACCCTCACCGCCCACCATCACTCACCCTCACCGCCCACCATCACCGCCCACCACCACCCTCACCATTATAATCCCTGTTCCCACCACCACCCAATACCTTCACTGTCCATCACCACAAATATAATTGACTTGAGAAATTTCTGTCAATTGATAGTTTTCTTGACAGCTTATTCCCACATAGGCCATTCTTGAGGTAACTGCATATCGGCTGTGAAAAGTTTTGGTGTTGTGTCGGGGCGAGGGGCGTGGGGCGTTCTAATGTACTTATATTTCCATTTCATCATTTTGGTCATTATTTGTCAACTTCCATTGGTTCTTCTTCACTGAGTTACACTATCACCATTACTGTTCACCACCAATACTACTGCTCACTACCAGCACACCCACCAACCACCATCATTACTACCAGCACACCCACCAACCACCATCACCCACCACTACACGTACAGGTATTGCTCTACTCAGTAAGGCTTCCAAACATTATTATACATCTGTTTGACAATATTTATGGGGTCATCACTGTTTCATAATGCTAACTCCTTTGTAATAGTCCAGAAATTTTAGAGTCGAATCCTCGAGTATCATACAAGATGCTTATTTTATCACCACATGGTATACTGTACTTGCTTCAACCAATTACTACTTGCCGATAATTTTTGATCAGTTCATAATACAAGGATTTTTTTCTAGATATAATTTTTAATGGTACTTTAATCAGTAATCAAAGAAAACACAAATGTGTCCTAATTGTTATTAAAAAAAACCCGACAATTTTGTTTTGAAGGCATTGCTTGTTTTATTATTATTTCATGATGAAACACCATTTGGACAGTTTAATATACATTGGTGTGTCTTTGTTCTTTAATATATTTTATTCCTTGATTGAATTATGAGAAAAATATACACAAAATTTTTGATGGGAGCATCGAGTGTCTAATTATGATATACATGTACTGTATCATTATACTGTATTCAGATGAGATACTTGAAGTACATTACAATACTGTACTGTACATTATCTCACCTTGAAGTAAGAGTGAAATATTGTGTTATGTATGATGTAATTTCACTTCTAGTGAGGTGAATTTCAATATAGAAAAAATGAAGCAACACAGTGCATAGATTTGTACTTAGGATTTGTGGAACTACAGTACAGTACTGTACATGGAGATTGGTAGTTTGAAACATGGAGCTAAAAGCAAAATTCTGTTATTATTAATGGTGCAGTATTTCAGTCTCATTGCCACAATATTCCAATACTGTACCGTACTGTATCACAATATTAACCACCTCATTTTGTACCTAGGATGCTCTTAATAATTCAGTTCTGTTCTTTTACAGATGGTTCCGTCATATTCAAGAAGCCCAAGAAGCTTATACAGCCAGAGATGGTCGCAACCGTCGATCACATCCCCAGACTCCTCTACAAGACCCTGACGACCAACCTTCATCCACTACTGACCCCCTCAGAGAGTATGTATTGTACCATCTTATGACTTGTGAACTGTTTAAAGAACATAAGAATTTTTACCCCAAGGATTATTTCTTTCACTGTTTTTATGTTTCCTAGATATTTTCTTTTAAAGGTTATAAAATACAGTAGGATTAAAATCAATCTTCATTAAAAATGATTATTGTTTAATTTACTTAGAATATTCAAGATCAATAAGAAAATCGTGAAAATAACAATGTAATCCTTTTATAATGTAGCATCATACAGGTACCCTACCTTGTATTTCTTATTCATCCTTAAATTGGTAAGGCACTCTGTCAGGATTTTTATTTCCAAACACTTAACTCAGATTTCCAAGCATTGATGGGTGTTAGTTTCCAAGCCAGAACACGGGGCTTCAGTGCACCAATCAACGTGGTATTACATGTTTACCATTACATTGCCCCTTGGGAGAGGAATGTCCCTATTAATTTCAGGATTACTGGAACAGAAGTCGAGTCATTTTGTTAAAACTAGAGTTATAATTACTTCCCATTCATAAATCATCAATATGTTGCTTAAGTACCTTGCAGACATGTATGCCAGGGAGGGGTGGGGTGGGGTGAAGAAGATCCCTCCTCCCCATTTAGGGGTACTGTACAAAGAGGGTGAAACTAGTGTTTACGGCTTGGCTACATTAGTGCAGACCCCACTTGAATTTAAGCCTGACAAAGTCTTTATGCCTTGTGTACTTACAGCATATGAGCAGCACTGATCAAATTAACATCAATCACCCCATGAACTGCCATCTAGCTTCAGCCTTCCCAAAACACAATGCAGAAATACTTCTAATCTAACAATAAGACATAGGATAGGGAATCTTAGTATGGATAATTTAGCCTGAAAAATCCTTAGACTACATTGCACTTCTAATGTTTTCATCTGTAGTTATTTATATTACTCATCTCCTTATACACTACATTATAGTTCATTCATCTTGCCTTATTTACCTATTTCTTGTGAGTTGAATACAGTACAGTAATAGTGTTTTGTTTTCATCCATTAGTGTAGATTCCTAAAGCAGTTCACCTTGTTAATTTGCAAATCCAAGACAAAAAAATTCCATCTCTGTTCACTTGGTTTCATATAGACATCCAGGTATCCAAAAATATTACTGGCAGAATAAGGAAGGACATTACAATATTATGACACCTCTGCTTTTTTTTTTATTGTATTATTTATTCTAAGAATTGTTCATTTGATATTAACATCTCCTGTTGTTTTCAGTGTGGATGATAATGTGGATGTTGATGGTGGAGACCCAGCAGATGGCACAAATGATAATTCTGTTGACAGTAAAACCCATCAAGGTGCCTCCAAATCTGCAGAGCAGATTTGTAAATCTGAAGAGCCATCCTCCACTCCCACAACAACTCCAGCAGCACAACCTCCAGCCTCACCAGACACTCTGACAAAGAAAACAGGTAAGTGGGTGTATGTGTAGAGGCTGCCACAAGTTCCCTTGTGGTGTTTTTGTTTTTGGCATCTTTTTCCTCTTCAATTTAGAAGTGAATCTTTCTGATTATTTTCATCAAACTGGGTGCAGTTGGTAATGGGTTTAATTGCTCTGCTTGGAAGTATAATTCTAGTACTCAGTGTCATGAAAGCAAGAAAATACTCTTTAATTCTTCACTTAGATTAGTACTGTACAGTAGATGAAATCTCTCCTTTTCATAATACAGTATATCTAGTGTTCCATTGTTGCATGGGGTGGCACCCTTCATCACAAAGAAAGGGGGGATATGCTAGTCTTGGGTTCATTAGGGTACTAAAGTGATGAGGCCTGCACACAGAATAGCAGGAACAGTTCAGCCCGGTGGGCTGCAACACCTCCTGAAATTCTAGAGCTCTCCATGCTACTGAGGATGCTCATTTTTCTAATTTTTAATATCATATTCCTATACTTGTATTGAGAAGTATACAAACCACTTCACTATGTAATGCATTGATAATTTGGCACTATGAACTGACCACTTCCATAAGCTGCTGTAAGTAATGCACTTAGCTCTTAAAACATGACTATACCCTTGGCTTGCTGCATGGCAGGGGTTAAAGTGTGTATTTAGCCTCTTCACAATGGGGTTCCTAAAGCTTGCACAAATGCACTCTTTAAGAAAATATCCCACCCACATTTCACCACTAGTGCCCTTCCTCCACATGTAGCTCAGTTCAAGTTGATATTTTATCACTGCCTTCTTAATATGTTATTTCTTAAATTCCATTTTTTAGACCAGAGTTCCCCAGCAATATTATCTAAACTTCTCCCTGATAATTAAAAAATGCTTTGCCACAGACCACAAACAAAATCCTAAGGCCTTTTAGTTTTATTGGGATACTTGCATGGTAGTGTTTATAATGGTATTTTTTCCCTTATGCAATCATACCCTCAATAATGAACATATGTCAAGTGAATCATTATGAAGGCAGTGAGTAGGTAGAGGTGGTGGTGCAAGTGGTGATGGTGAGTGGTGCTGAATGGTGATGGTTGTTGTTGGGTAATGACAGCAGAGGCGGGCGGGGCAAGCAGCAGCAGTAGCGGCCCAGGTGGCCCCTCCCCCTCGGCCGGCCGGAGCCCCGCCTCTGGCCGCCGTCTACAGGAGGTCCAGATCATCCAGATCGTGGAGGGCCCGACGCTCATCCAGCCTTCCGAGGTGAAGGTCTCTCAGGGAGTGGTCCTCTCTGCAGAGCCTGTCCTCACTCCCATAGGTAAACCCTCCTTGTTACTCTATATCTTCAGTGTTTTGGGGATGCTCAGAAACAACTAAGATTTATGGAGATGTGAGATTAGTGTTCTTGTGATCTTAGTGATATTGACTTGTGTATATTTGAGAAGAGCTACTTGTAGTTTTATTAAAGCAATGTTTTGTAGTTCTTAGCTTTCTGCCATTTTTGTAGACTGTTGGAGGGGGTGCCCAAGAACCACACACCATTAGTTTGTTGCACATTATTTCACCAGAAGCAGCCTTTAATAATGGAAACCTTTAAATACTACATATGGGTTACATATTTTTCATTAATAATCCAAATTGCTGCATCAATTTCCAATATGTAAAAGGATGCTTCATAATAAGGTTGTCTTGCTATTAATGTGTATTCTTACTTATTCTTAAGCTAACACGCATGACATGGAGGCAACCCTCCCTTTTTTATTTTTGCATCTTGGCCTGTATCAGCAGCGTAATATTCTTTGACTAACAATTGTTCTAGAACCTGTTTAACTTATGATGTATTTACAGGTCAGTTTGAGTATTATTATAAATGTTCTAGACTGTATTTTTACCTTATTGTTATATTTTTTCTTTCTCAACATTGACAATTCTCACTGTGTGTGTGTGGTGAAATGAGCAGAACTCAACAAGCACATGGAGTTTCCTAAATAGAGGTATCTCTCAGGTATGGTGTGAGGAGCCTCATTTTACCGTCTAAATGGAAAGGAATTTGTTTTTTCACTAACGTAAATTAGTTACAGTAGTGCATATAATATTTTATGGGAGTTCAGGAATGATACTAAAGAATATAATTTAGTAATGCATCATCATTTAATTTATTATTATCAATATATCCTGGACTTCCATTTGATTAACTTAAAATGAAAAAAATGTATATGTACAAATATGTTGACCTGTGTTGGTGTAGTAGATTAGACAACATGTCATTATAACTGTAGTTGAAATTAACATGAAAAATACATTAGGTATTTTACTTATTTTCTTCATTCTTGATACCGTGAGTTCTCCCTTAACTGGACTAACTGGTGTGTACAGATTGACTTATTAATAGAGAATGTAATGTTAAATTTATCTTAACCAGACAGTATTCTTTGTAAACAAGATATGTTCCGGTCAAAATCGGAACATTTATTTCGCCCAGCAGCCTTGACTAGCCAGGATAATAGCCAGTCAAATGTTTTTTAATGTCCGTGTGCCAGACAGACAAGTAGATAATGGTTGTGATTTCCATGAGCACAGCCATTGTAGAGCAAGAGGTCAGTAGTGAGAATGTTATGAAGGACACTACTCTCACCTTGTTGGGTATTGACCCCTGAACAACCTAGGGATGAAAATTAATACCTAGGTCAAAATCGTTGAACTCGAAGCCAGAGGAAACAGTAGTTCACTAGCTGAACAAGGGAAGGGAAAGCACCATATCAGTGGACATAAGTGTCTTAAGTAAAACTGTGAACTTGATACATTGATACATTTCTAAAAGTTGACTGATTTATGATGATATAAAATACATGATGCATATAGTACTGTATAGATAAAAAATTGTAAAGCATTGGTATTTATATATAACATTATGATTTTGTGGTATTTAGATATCATATGATGTTATGAGTCACATGAATAACTTGTATGGAGTTCATTTGTGAAATTATGGGCGGGAGAGGAGGAGGGTTGCTCCTCCTCCCACTCTGGCTGGGTGAGAGAGGGTGATGCACCGTACAAAGTAGTCTGTGACGACGTTATACCGAATTGGCAGGAGGCTGTCCGAATCATGAGTATCTAAAGAGTAGCGACTTTATAACAAAACAACTCTGTCAGGGGCAATGTTAAACGAGGATTTACTGTATCAGGGCAAGTAAAACAAATATTAGAACAAGTACAGTAAAACAAATATTAGGGCAAGTAATACAAATATCAGGACAAGTAAAACACATATCAGGGCAAGTAAAACACATATCAGGGCAAGTAAAACACATATCAGGGCAAGTAAAACAAATATCACACATATCAGGGCAAGTAAAACACATATCAGGGCAAGTAAAACAAATATCAGGGCAAGTAAAACAAATGTGATATAGCATTTGTGTTGGCCCTGAAGAGGGCAACTAAAATAAGAATTGGCCCTCGAAAGGTTTTGAGTTTGACACCACTGGTTTAGATCACTATTAGGAATAACAGTGTTATACCTAAGCTTGTGATCTCAGCAGTATGTCTAGGAAGTCATGTGACTAGCCAATCAGTGTCCATGCTGCAAACCTTCAGAATACTCACTTGCCATTATCAAAATCCCCAATAAATTCACATCTAGCTGAGATTTCTGGTTAAAAGAAGACATGTTAGTGGAGAATTCACTGTATATTAAATAGTCAAAACTGGTAACAGAAAGCATTATTTATTGGCAGATTAATTGTTCTTTATGGTAGTATGAATTACGGTATCACCCTGAGCAAGGTACAGTATATAATGTCACCAGGAAAACATACAGTATGTAGCTACTGTAATGCCATGTGAGTTTTTTGTTTTTTCTCATCAGTGGCTTTATACCACATAGTAATTATACCCCAGCTTAGATGTTTGTTGCCACATATTCTCCATTTCAGATCATTCTTACAGTTGTTATACAAAGTGTTCAAAGTGTCTGAATCCTGAGTGAAATCAGTACTCAAAATAGTTCTGGACATATTGTTAGAACGATGCTACAAATACTCGCCATGTACCCATAACACAGCATTCATTTTTCCAACAATATATCAATTAATATACTGATGTTTATACAGTATTTCTCTCTGGGTTGAGATTTTTCAGACATCATATACTGTACTGTACTTTATTTCTGTATAGTGTCCTGCATCCAAGCTTTTTGTACTCATTTTACCTTGTATTACATAACGTTATAGAGAAATGCTTTTAGTTTTATATGTCATCTATTTCACTTGTCTCAGATATAGCAGATGGACCTGGTCAAATTTTTTCTTGATAAACAAAGGATGTAGTTACTTATGAGGACAGATATTAGATTCTAATTCTTAGATTGTGTAACTGTGTACAGTTGCCTGTGTGCTCAGGAAAAATCCTACATTTACCATATTCAAATGCTGGAAATGACTACAGTACCTATGATATAAAGTAAATATGATCATATAATGATAATAATAATAATTATTAACGGTTTTTTGAGAAAGTTCTGCAGCCTGAAGGCTGAAAATATACATTAGACAAAAATTACTTATTACATACAAAGACATGGGGTGGGTGGGTCGTTTAACAAAAGCTTTCATTACTGAAAGGAGAAGGAACATGAACTGTACATACAAATTATTATAGTTTACAGCTGATGGTCTGGGCTGGTCTCATGCCATACTGTGTGAGGTCACATAGGCCTAGTGGTGCAGTAACTCGCCCGTAGGTGTTGACATGAAGGACCTCACGTGGTCATGGAGACACCCAGTGGTGTGGTGTTCATGTGGTGTAGTATCTCGTCCATAGGTGTTAATATGAAGGACCTCACGTGGTCATGAAACACCAGGTGGTGTCACAGTACCTCACTCTCTGTTAAATTGTGTTGTGTTAACTCATAGCCAAGTGTGAAGCCGACCCACTGTTGTTCCCAGGGTGGATAAATTAGCACCTCCTGGTCAGAAGATGGTGATCAGTTCCCAGGGGTGCTTCTCTCACTGGTGGGTCACTGCTCTCACTGATACTGTCTAGTGCTGAATTCCCTGGCATAAACACTGTTCATTACTGGTCAACGCTGATCCCACTTCTTTCCAAAACGTGTGTCTGTTTGTGTGCAAGAGTGCGTGCGTGCGTGCGTACATATGTTAACAATACAGTGCGCAACAAATAATTTTTTTGTATATTAGTCATTCTTTGGAAAATCTTTAGACAGTAATATGTTCCTTAGGATGTGAACATACTGTGATTTTTTCAGACATGAAGTAACTTTATAGAGTTCATGTCAGGTTGAAATTGTTTGAAAAAGACGTATGATGGATGGTGGGTCTTGGGTTTGACCAAAGTATTATACAAGATAAGTTCTATAAATATTTAATACAAGAGGCATTTGACAAGCATTGTAAGTCTTCAGGCAGAGTAAATTTTTTGAAAAGTTTTATAGATTATACATTAGTCAGAATACATTACTGTATACAGGTATCTTAAAATACAGCAACAAATATGTTGAATCAAAAAAAGTACCTGTACAGGTATTTGAAAATAATAATCTTTAATATGACTCATGTCATAAATATGGACAGTTTGAATATTCATTTTGTTTATGGAAAATGAAAAGGACAGCTGTTTCAGAAATTCATTTTGGCCTTAAATAAATAATATGACAACAGTGCACACACACACACACACTTCAAAAAGTGTCTTTATGAATGGATCCAATGAATGTCAAAATGAACATTGCAACTTGTGGTGTCTCGGTAGAGTTGACAATATCCTCTGTCCATTGTGTCATATTGTCTAGCACAAAACTGTAAAGAAAATTTCTTGATCGTGTTTACATGTGCTATATAATCAAAGTACTGAATATGAATGAACAATTTGTTGTTTAGGAATGATTTTATGTATAGTTCGCTTCTCATAAGCTTCCAATATATTAACCACACAGTATAGTTTAGTTGAACAACATTACCCTGTGTTTTACTACATCATCACAAATTTGAGTAGTTACTGTATTTAGATAATTGTGTTAAGTTATTGTTGCATAATTAGTCAAGTCCTCTACAATTGAGCTGGTTTTTGCTCCTATTTATTCAGATTATTCATTGTTTAAATGATCCCCACATTTGTATTACAGAGCATCTACGTAGAAAAGACTTAAAAATTCGTCAGGCATTGGAGGAGAAACAACATATTATTGCTGACATCCTAAACATTCCGCATGAGCACTTTGAGAACGTGGTAGACATGGCAGGAGAACCAACAGTGGGCAACAAAGAACCCAGAGAGTTGGTTTTGGCTGCTATGTTCCAAGCCAAGTGTCTACAGGAGACACTGAATGAGGCCCTTAACATTAGTGAAGGAGACATTGTGGCAGCAAGAGCCAACAATGATAGTGCTAACAAGGCTACTAGTTTACCCTTGTATCAAGCACCAATGACTAAACTTCTTACCATCTCTACAGTATTGACTCAGCAACTCTCTTCTTTACTAGTAAGTACAGAACTGCCACCAGTAACTCATAATTTTGGTATAATAAACCTGATCAATGAACAGCAAACTATTAACCCTTATGCATTATGTCCAGTTGAATAATTCTCACCCCTATTGCTAGCTGATGATGCAGGCTGCATCATCCAGAATTAGGTTTCTGTATAAATAACTGTAATAAAATACAAGCTTGACCTTACTTGAGGCCTCAATGAGCAGAAAATCACACAGTTCCTGTGAAAGAGCATACACGTTAAGAGAGTTACATTTTTATGTGAATAACAAGTAAATAAGTACAGAGTAATTGTCATTTCTATACACAAGCCTTCTTTATATATTCCTTAATAAGTGCTAGTTATCACAACTCATAATAATCTGCGGTAACACGGTAAATCAGGAAAATATTCATTAACTAACCTTCTGTTTAGATTCTAAGGGCCAGCCATGAGTCAGAATAACCGCCGGGCCAAGGACCATCAGTATATAAAAGAAAATGGACCCTTTAGTATACTGTAATCCTATAAATTTCCATAGAATACATAATTATTTGTAGCTAAATAATAACTAAATATTACCACAAAAACATACAGCTTTTTTCATTCTAGGAAATAGATTACTTCTTGTACAAGATATATACACATACAAAAGTATTATAAAAATTATGCAGGTTCAACATAACAGTTATTTATAAACATTTGTGACTAGACAGGCTGTGTACTATACATGAGAGGTTGTGGCTCTGTCCAAGGCAAAAGAGTAGGAGGAGTCTTGAAACTGTCATGGCTCTCAGTGATGCAACCTGTGTTGTCAGGCAGCAGGAGGGTTAATATTGTGAATTTTTTATTGTCCTTCATATATAAATGTTGTGGTTAGGTACTGCATTAACGATTCAATCCTTTTTCTGCCATTTGCTTTGATACATTTAATATTTTTTTTTTTTTTGCTTCTAGTGGAAAATTTTCTAAAAGCTTGTACGGGTAATTAAAAATATAAATAGTGTTTTCTCATTATATACTTGTGGTTATTCTTTTATCATATACACCTTTATCTTTATGCAGGAAAGTACAGTACAGTACAGTCCAGTACATATGTACAGTAAGGAACTATAATAGTTAAAAATAGAGGTCTGGGTTAACCTGCTACCTATCAAAAATATATATGGACAATAATAACAGATACAGCAGCAAGTTGAGACAATTTTTATCTAGAGGACGATGATTAATTATTCTTTTCATTAAGAAAGTATCTGAAAAAGGGATGAATAATCGTGGGATTTATAGTTTTTGTAATATTGTATTATTAGTTTGCCAATGCACACATACATGGCAGATTCCCAGCAGCTGCAGTTTCATCATCTTATCCTACACATGAACTTCCAGTGATTATTATTATTACATTATATTCATTACCCTTTTTTTTACCTAATGGCCACCCACTACAGTTGGCCATGCCAAGGGAAGGAGGCCAGTAGCCTGTGTAGTATCCCTCCATTGTTCTTAATAATTTTGTGAAGGGCTATTTTGAAGCCCAGTACTGTTCTTGATTCCACAGCTTGAGCTGGTAGACTGTTCCATAAGTCTAATACCCTCTGTGTGAAGAAGTATTTAATTATATTCATTCTGCGTGATAACTTAGCAAGCTTGTAGTTTTGTCCTTTCATGTTGGTGGTCCGTGACATCACAAAGAAATGTCCCGGGTTCACGTTTTCCATCCCTTTCAGGATTTTGAATGTTTCAATGGCATCTGCCGTATTGTGCCATGTCTGAAGAGTTGTTAGTTCCGCTCAGTCTAATTGGATGTCTAGATGACATAATTCCAGAATCATTTGAGTGACTCTATGTTGCACCTTTTCTAGGGATGTTAGATCTTTCTGGGGGTAGGGTTTCCTTGCCTATATTACAGTAATCCAGACTGGGACCTGTTTGAGAATTGTATAAAGTTGAAGAAGCATATTCAAAGGTACACTTTATAATTTCCAAATCTTGATTTGCTTTACACACTGCTGTGCCGCCTTCAGTGAATGATTTAACAATGCTAAAATCTTTCCCCTTATCAACAGTATCCAGGAGAGTGTTATTTACAGATTAGTTGTGAGTAGGGCTGTTGTAATCTGTGTGTAGGATCTTGCATTTTGTAATGTTAAAGAGCATTTGCCAGTATCTGAAGTCTAGATATGGTTCAAATGGTCTAGATTCTAGACCATTTGAACAGTTTATTCTTGTCTTTCTGCAATTGTTGCAACATCATCTTGACTTACTAACTTTCCAAATATTACAGTTTCTTAATATCTGGTCAGTTTGTATTGAAAACTATATAGTATTTTAGGAAATACAGTACTGTACAGTACATGCACACCCCAATAACCGACGCAATTAATTCCATAAGAATATAACAAATTCAGGGGATTAGGAACAGGCCACCCTCCAGAAATTCCCATCTACCCTTGATATATCACTTGTGCACACTGTCAAGCAAGAAAATAAATAAAGCAATCATAGTAAGCATTGAATAAGGAATGTAAAACATAAATTGTGGCTGTTATTTACTTTTGTCTAGGGTGGCAAGTTCAAGTCTCTACCAATCTTTTGCTAGTCCATCACCACTTTTATTATGCCTTATCACATTAAGCTGCCCCTCTTAGAGGCAGCACAAGAGGAACTTTCACTTGGACATTTAAACATGATTGCATAACAAACGAAGTCGGAAATAACGAATAAACACGAAATCAGTGACATATTTGTAAGTGTAAACAAGTGCAGAGAGGCGGAATGAGTCGGAGGCAGCACACAGAGCCATCTAGTGGCCAGAATGTGCACCACGCCACTGCCCGCCAAATTCAAAACAGCTTTCCTACTCCTCTCCCGATCGTTGGATCTCCAAGGTATCAACGAAACTTATGGGGTATTTCCCCAATAGGTACATATATGTAATCATCAGTTATGCGAATCTGTGGTTAATGGGACGTCGGTTTTTGGGGTATACCTGTATGTCAAAACTGTTTTAATAAAATATCCTTCCAGGAAATCTTATGATGTTTTAACTTGTATAAGCTGGTGTGGCTGAAGATGTGTATGCTACTGTCAAAGATGAACAAACATTTTGCCAAACAAAGTACAGTACTGTATAGATTTATATTATGAGTTTGTAATAAAGATAGTAGTTTATAAAACATATCAATAGTGCTTAGAGGAAACATTAGTGTGTTTAACAGTTTAACACTCGGGTAAAGCTCAGTGTTTTATTTAACAAATATGAACAACATATATTATGTCCCATATGTTCATCATATTAATATATATTAAACCGGTAATAGGAGAAATATTTTGTAACTTGCTCCTGCTTCTACAGAATCTGGTATCCGAACGAGACGATGAGCGAGAACGCATGCGTAAAGAGCTAGTAGCCTCAAGGGAACGGATACATGATCTTCATATGAGGCAAAACTCGGTATCAAACCAGACGTCATCAACCACCACCCCAAGTCAACCTACTTCTGCTACTACTCCTGTAGTATTAGCAGGGGTAATCCCTCCCACAGCCACCTCACCACACAGCTCTAGGCCAAGTTCCTTTGTTTCAGTAGCATCTTCTGCTGCAGACCATTCTGATACACCTGATCATCATGATACAGATGAAGGTAATTAAAACACTGGAATTTTCCCTCTTATGAGAAGCTATTTCTTGGAACTTCTTTTTCTTAATTTTATTTATATACTGTAATCAATAATTCTGTTAGATAATACTGTATACTAAGGTGACTGTTCTTACCCAAAATAGTGCTTGATCATGATAATAAGAATTTATTTGATGTATTGTGTCTTCCACAGATGCTGGAAGTGAAGTGCCCAAACTGAACAGTTCACACCCTGAGGAGTGTGAAGATTCCAAGGAAGATTCTGTTCCAGAGGTAAATATTGAACAAATCAATTTCATTTTAATCTCAACTCAGAATTTGATAACTCATACTTACAGTAAAATATGGCAAGTTATTTTTTGAATTATTTTTACGTGAAATTATTATTTTTTGCATAACTCACTCTTGCATTAGCCATCTCACCCAGCATCTCACTCTAGCAACATGCTTATCACTTGTCTGTGCTCGTTTGAGAAAAAAAATTACATTACTCTACTGTGGCTTAGAAATATAGAAAATATAACATAAAACTATAAAATAAGAAAAATGAGGAATGTGGGTGTGTGTGTGTGTAAGAAGTGAACTTTTGTGTGTGGAAGCAATGAGCAGAAAATGTAACTACATCACTCCTCTCTTCCTTTCTGATGTCAGTCAGCTGGGTAGCTGAGCAGCTGAACTGTGTCATGTCACCCAGAGGAGCTGTTCTTTGTACTGTAAATAAAATAATAAGTGATATCTTAGTTAGCCGGAACAATTGGTGCAGAGCACTTCCAGGAATGAGAGATTTCCATGTAATGAGACGACTTTCTCAAAACCGGAAAAAAAAATCCCCCCCCCCCCCATGCACCTTCTGGCTGTGTTGTAGGGCTGCCACCAGTTGGCATTAGTGTTCATAAGATGTTACCCAACTACAAGGGGAGATCATTGTGAAAGATATTAACTTGTATGCATTTACTGTAGTGTGTTATTTTTTTATCAATTGTTAACTTGTGGTGAATGAGTAGTTTAACTTGTTTTCCAGACTTTTGAAGATGCAGTGAGTGGATCAGAACCAACTGAAACAAAATCTGGAGAGGTGGAAGGTTCTACACAAGGCCAAGAGAGTAGTGATGATGGAAGAGGGTGTGAGAGCAGCACAGACACAATCACCACCTGAGGGCTGTATGGTGATGGATGCGGTGGAGTGCTTCCTTCTAGGTTGTTTTACTGATATCCTCTACTGCATTGTTTGGGGAACATATTGGAGCTGTGTGCCTCTACTGATGCCTTATCTTTGTGGCTGTCGTGGGCACAAGAGAGGCAAGAAGGAGGCAGGTGGTGCCAGGAACCATGGCTCACTGCTCCCCACTCTCCCATCCTTGTGGAGATCACTTGTCAGAACCACCACTAAACTGAGCATCACGTGCGGGCTGGACTGCTTTGGTCAGGAACCTGAGCATAGCAACACAAAATATATTTCTTTTTTTATGTGTATGATATTGTAAATGAAAAGATGATTATTAAATTTGATATAATAATTTACTACTGATATCAGAGATGATTGGCAGTATGCATGTGCAACATATGAACCTAAGCTGGCTGGACACAGCATTTAGTGTGACCAATCAGCAGAAAGTGTACATAGAGTATCGTGGATGTGCGTTGTGACTCCTGAGGCCAGAAAACCTGAGACTGGTACAGGGGTCATCATAAAGTGTGTAAGGTATAGTATACATCCTGGCTATGTTTCCCAGTTCCAAGCTGATCATCAACTGGCATAAGTTCCTGTGGCATGTGGAACCCTCATAATAAGGTTGTAACCAACAAGATTCCAAGTAGAAATTGAACATTGATTTTGAGAAATGAAAATGTTGAAGTAATTGTTTGGTTGTAATTACCATTAATGTTGTCAGATTTGTAATATGTATGCAGTAGAACTCATTTATATATCCTCTTTTCTGCTACTGTTCCATAGTTTTTTAACTCCTATCAGTAACCACATGCTACAGTTCCAAGTTGACCTAAGTATGAAACTCCATGGTATATATCTCAGTCAGCTTTTTCATCAAATGTTTGTTGTAATTTGTTCAAATATCATAAACAAGTCACCTGGTGTCAATTACGTTCCTAGTCCTTTGTGTTGCGGAATGCTGCTGTCCTGCTGAGCGACTGTGGACCAACACCCGAATTCTGAAGTCACTACCTTAGGATAAATATACCTCTTTATGTAGGACCTGTCACCACTCCAGTAAATATTTAGCCAATCCAAGAGGAAGGAATGGACCACTTGAATACTGTAAAAATCCCCAAATATTTCAGAATTGGGTCCTTAAGCCATCTACATTACCAGATGTTTACCTGATAATGTGCTGTCTGAGTGGATGTTCAAGTTCATTTTTCCAAGAATGTCGAGTATGTATTATATAAATAATGATGTTCATTCTTGTCTCAAGAAATTTATTGTTTACAAACATAAATGTCATGGAAGATATAGTCAATGTTCCCTACTGTAACCCCAGAGCAGTAGAGACACCCAGAAGTGAGATTATGGTGACCCAATCAAGTGGGTGGAGTCAAGTTTAGGTGGTGGTGGCGGATGATTCGTGTCACCCGTCTTTAAGGCAACCTCAGGTCAAAGGAGAGTGATGCATTCATGACCCCAGTGTGACCTAGCCTGATCTGGGGCTGACCTGGTGACTAGCAGTGTGTAGGGATAGGGGACCAGTGATGATAGGTATTTCTATTTACATGTTCCCACTCTGCCCTACTGGTTGTCAGGAGCTCGTCATCCTGTCGCAAAAAGGGTGTTTGTTCTCTTGTTCATTTGTATGTACATATCTTTGGCACCCAATATTGTGGGTATACAGTAAACACATTACCACAAAAAGTGATCATTTGTAAATTGTAATAATGTTATTGTATAACCAATCAAGCATAATGTATAGTGCAGCCTAAGTGCATAAGTAATAAAATGACATAAAAGAATACAGTATTTTTTAATCTTTTAATATTATTACAGGTTGTACCTCTCTAGTCCGGCAACCTCGGGACCTGACCGGTGCCGGACCATGGAAATTGCCGGACCATGGAAATTCACCCTTTTCCTGGATAGATAGTGACTTGTGCTTATGCCTGGAAGCACTAGCACCACTTTCTCTGCATCATGGTCTCTTTGAAGACATATTGAAGGGTTAAATGTCGTACAGTAGCTTCTCAAATTTCGCGAGTTTTTAATTCTTAACGTATTTTATTGGAACACACAAAAAATAAATAAATAAAAATTTTGACGGCGGAAACTTGAATTTCGACGGGTTTGAACGGCCCGCCAACGTGCAGACGACGTGCATAATCGTGTAAACAGCGTCATTTCTCTTATGTACAAAAGATTCATTATTGTTTATTACTGAATGTCTTTTTTATTGAATTTATGTTTATGTGTGCAAAATGAGCAATACAATTCATTAATAATACGTAGAATATTAAAACACACGAGGAAATGACACAGCATTGTATTCGTTGATTACAAAACCAGTGACTGACTGGTTCTACATATAAAACTGAAGAAAATAAGACCTTGGTTGTAGCTGTAGTAAAATTAATATGGTTGTTTTAAGTAATGTTATTTAATGTTAATAAATGGAACAATAGAAGTAGCTAACGATAATGGTAAAGAAAAAAGAGAGATCGCATATGTAAGTGCGCAGGCGCACACGTGAAAACATATCATCATTACTTTACATAAGAATATGAAAGCAACACTTATTTACTGTTTTTATTGAATTAATGTACGTGTGTGCAAAATTAACAATACAATTTATTAATAATACGTGGAATATTAGAGGAGACGAGACGGCTGTCGGCATTGTTTATGTTAAAGCTTACGAAACCAGTGACTGATTGGTTCTACATATAAAACTGAAGAAAATAAGACCCTGAGTTTAGCTGTAGTAAAATTAATGTAAAAAATGAATATGGTTGCTTGAAGTACCTGTAATGTTATTTAATGTTAATAAATGGAACAATATAAGTAGCTAACCATTAATGGTAAAAAAAAAAGTGAGACTGCTCGTATGTAAGTGCGCACATGTGAAAATATATCGTCATTACTCTACATAAGAATATGAAAGCAATACTTATTTACTGCTCATATATATTGAAGGGTTAAATGTTGTACTCTGTATAGACTAGCAGAGAGAGAGAGAGAGAGAGAGCAGCCGAACTGCCGGATGTAAACAAACCTTAATTTCCTGCGACTTTTTATTTTTATTAAGGGGATTAGCCCACCCGGGAATAGGTCACTGACCCACATTAGGGCCTGAGGGGCAAAAATTTAATGATCCTGTAATAATAATAATAATTCAGATAAGTAAAAAAAAAGAAAAGAAAAAAAGCTGCCTATCTACCTATTGGACAAACTAAAATCGTTCCGGACCACGGGAGTTTCCGGACCACAGAATGCCGGACTAGAGAGGTACAACCTGTATATCCTTTAAGGGAATGCTAAAGTGTATAAGCAGTGTAACATGTCCTGATATATCAATGAATATATAGATAGGCATCCAAGCGTTCCACTTAATTAGGACCAAGAACATGGCAGATACAGGGATACAAGAATAGTAGATACTATGGATGAAAATTTAAATCCTAGATAAAATAACAATTACTGTATGTACTGTACCTGAATGATACCCAAGATTCCCCCCCCCCTTGAACACTTGAGATATCAATACTAACCCTTTGGTCAACTGAATGACACCTTAGAGGGGCAATGGTTCTTAAACTACTGTATGTGCTGTGGCCCAAATATGGGTCACCAAGCTGTATGAATGGATCACAAGATGCTGAACTGTCCAATTTGGTCACAAGAACTTTATCATCCTCAAGGCTGCAAAGTGCAAACACTTCACTTCAGTCTTCATTTTACTATTGATTGGTACACATATGGTGTAGCTCGTGACAATGTCTGGTTTGTTATAAATTTTGTTAAAACTCTTGTGCAATTATTTATAGGGATCTGTATTTTCTCTCTTGCTTTCATTTGTAATGTTTTCATACTGTGCCAATTTTGTAATCTCTCACTCCTTGTTTCTTCTGCATTTTTTCATTCTGTCTATGTACTTTTTTAGGTCGAGTGCTGCCGAGTTAATCCTGAATTCGAATATTGTACTGTATACTTTTTTTTCAGGATGGGGAAACATGTTTACAAATACTGTATGCATTTTATTTTTTATTCACTTGTTCAACATTATTTAGCTGGAAGGTTCTCCAAGACAATATGGTTGCTCTAAGTGGCCTATTTTTCAGAGTTTGTCAGTGAAATTAACTGTCTGAAGCTCTCCTCAGTAAAGGTCAAACTGAAGTTGTAAAAATCCAAAATGGAACGGAAAACAGTCTTTCCAGTCCTCATGCCATCTACTGGAAGAAATTGAGGAAAATGCATCAGCATCATTTGAGGACATTTGTGGCAGTTTTCTGAGAGCACTGGAACAAACTGGAACAAAGATTTTGAACACTATTCTTGCTGAAGATACCAAGAAATACTGCTGAGTTCGAAATCCTTTTGAAAATAATGGT